CGGGGTCCAGCCTGGAGCCCTTGCTGCCGCTACTACCTTGGCTATGGACTAAGTCATCCAAGTGAAGATGGAGAGAGATCTTGATGCTGAATCGTCTTCACTTTGTAGATCCATCAGAAAGACCCACAGAGTGTACAGTGACCTGTTTGAAATGCATTTGGCAGAAGATTACTCAGTATATAATGGTATATAATTATTTAGGATTAAGTAGCATATAACTGGCTTTTCAAGGCGCTCTATTCCCATGCATTTCTGGAAGGCTGCTTTCTATGTGACAATGTCAATTCACATGGTGCCTTCTGGTGGCTTCCATCTCTGAGTGATTAACGGTAATCTTTGCTCAAATATGAATTTTGGAAGAGCAGCACCAAAACTGGTGCACACTGCTGCACCCAAGTGTTCCTCATGGCCTCTGTGTAGGAAACACTACTCATATAACAAATAGTGGAGAAAATGAGCCTTTCTAGTGTCTTTCACTGAAACCAGGAAACCACAGTCTTGCTGTGGAGATCAGTCTTCGGCTTCTGGCTGGCCTCTGTTGCTGTCCCTTGGCTGCTGCAGCAGGGAGGCAGCACACACAAGCGTGGGTGTGCTGTGCACCAGTGAGACCTTGCAGCAACTGGTAGTAGCAGGATTTGGCCCCTGGGTGGCTGTTCCCAATCCCTGTCTTAGAGTAACAGCCCACTTACTGGGAAGATGAGGTAAATAGAAATTGAAATTTGAGAAACACGCACAATTTTGCAGGTGTCCTGGCATTTCCTCACTCACTTTAAGTGGGAAAAGTAAGGTCTGGAATAAGGAAGTGAGTGGCCTGGAGTAGCTCAGGTTTTCGCTCTGGGAAAGGACAGGGGACTCGTCTCCTGTGCTGCTGCTTGGGTGCCCTCAAGGCTGTGACTTCTCCAAAGCCACAGAAGACAAAACACAATCAGACAAGAAGGATCTACCTGAGACTACAGAAGGGTATTTTTTTGGTGGTCTAACAGTGTCTCGTTCTGTATGTTAATATATGAAACTATATATGCTAATTTTGATAGGATATTTGGCAGGCCTAGGGGCTCCCCACTAAACCACTACCAAGGAAATCCTCCCCAAAGAATGTAGGCCAGTATGAGATGGCTCCACGCTGACCAACTCTCTGTGGTCTGTATAGAGCTGTCTCTCAGGTGTCACATTCCCCACGCAGGGGCTCCTCGGCGCTTGCTCCTCTGTTTGCACAAAGGTCACTCAGCAAACTTCCTTGGATTCCATCTTTGACTGGGGCTTCACAGTCCCTGGTGTGAGGTAGGCACTGTTCAGCTTTGGGGTGGGAACATTCATGATTAGTGGAAGTGAAGCTGAGCAACTGTGAAGTCCTGAGTCCTGGTGTTGAGGGCATGCATTGGCAGTAGGGGTGGGCTGGTCTCACTGTGACAGGCTCTACATGGGGAGAAAGGGCGGCAGAAATGAGAAAGGAGGACAAGAAGACAAAAACTGGGCTAGGTGGTCGCTGTTCTGCCTGATGGGCAAAATTAGTGCAACACACAACAAAACAGTTCTTTATTTATACTTTTGCAAAATTTGTAACATGACACAAGGATGCCTAACGACTACTAGCTGACTTTAGCCTAACAAGATGTTTATCTCAGGAGTGAGCTAGTTTGTTTGCTTTAGGCACTGGGGCCCAGGCCCACCTACACACAGTTGCTCAGTTTCCCAGCTTCCTGGCTCCCAACGGTTGCCATTGGCACTGCAATTCTCAGAGGCCAAAACTCAATGTAGGAAGTTTTCCTGCGATCTGCAAAGTGAGCATAGGGACAGAGAGGAAAGGCAAACTCAAGGTCTTGAACATTTGAACGTAGGCATGAATAAAAATGAGCCTGCACAGCATTAAGGAGAAATTCTTAGAAAAGAGTTTTAGCCACGCGTCTCTGATGAACACAGTGATGCAACAACGGCAGCGACGCGTCGCCGCGGGCCTGCTGCCGGCGGATGCAGCTGGCAGCGCTCCTACATGAACTTGTTCACACCGCGTGACATGTTGTGCAGACTTCTCAGGAAGTCACCACGCGGGATAAGTCAGGGTCCTTGTCAAGTAGAGCACCATTCTGCCACTGCATTCTTTGTGTCTGCATTATTCCCTTGCATGTAACGGTCGCCCCGTACAATGGGTGCTACCTGGCATTTTGAAAATCTTATTAATTTGTTTGGAACAATGATGCTACTGCTGGAAATAAATTTAGAAAATGAAATTCCCTTTTAACTTTGGAGAAGCTGATTATCCAGCCAGGGAAGGCAGTTTTCAACTATTTTTAGCCTTGCTGGAAGGAACAGAGATTAATAGGGCCTGTGCTGAGCCCTCACGCAGTTAGGCTGAGCCGCCTTCCAATATTCAATTTCAGGCAACTCACGAGCACTGCCATAAGTACTGTCAGTGAAGGGGTGCATTTTAGATAAATATCCCTTTAAATTTTAGCCACACTTAAAAGAAAAAATAAAAACCTGTAGTGAATCTATTCTAAGCACAGAAGAAAAACATGGTTATATGCATAATGGTGTGGAGAACAGTCAACCGCAAGTGCAGTGAAACCAAAAAGAAACCAGAAAGAATCAAAGAGAACCAAAGCTGAGATAAGAGCCTAACAGTGCCAGCAAGTCACCAGGGAAATCTTTTCAGTAGAGCTATACTGAGGAGTCAAATGTTGGTGTCTACAGAGTAAAGCATAACCCGACGAAAATGAGC